TCTCTTCTATTCTCTCTTAGTCTCATTTAATCACCAATTTGATTCCAATATTTGGAATAAATTTGAAATGTAATCTTTAAAATAAATTTGTTACATTTAAATGATCATTTAGATTGTACCTATTGCATAAGAATATGTAAAAAAAGTGCGTACTTTCAAACGAGAGATTTATTTATATGAATATAGACACTTGTAAATCAAATTTCTATAAAGATTGCATTTCGTATTTATCTTTTTTATTAAAACATTCTCATTAAAAAAAATTATTACCATGATTAGTGGATTTTGTGTTTATTTCTTTTATTCTCTTAGGGGTGTATTCAATTGGAATTTCAAGTGACATGGACTTTTTAAGATTTGAGACTTTTTAAGATTATCATATTTTGGAAGAATTATGTGAAATCTTAAGTCTAGAGGTGAGATTTGAAGTTCGATTTTAATAAGATTTTTTCTTTAGAAATCCCACAAAATTTTAAAAAGTTTTAACAAATCATAGTCTCAAATAAGTTAAATACCACATGATTTTGTAAGACTTTTTAAAATCTCAATTGAATACCTCAAGACTTTTAAAAGTCTTAAAAAGTTTTAACAAATCTAAACTGAATACACTAATATTTCTAAAGTCTTTAGAAATTCCAATTGAATACACTCCAATTAGTCTCATTTTACGACCAATTCGATTCCAATCTTTGGATTAAATATAAAATGTAATCTTTAAAATGAATTTGTTGCGTTTAAAAAGAGATTTAGATTGTATGATCTATTGCATAACAACATTAAAAAAAATGTTACGTTCAAATAAGAGATTTATTTATTATTAGAAACACTTGTAAATCAAATTTTCATAAAGATTGCATTTCGTATTTATCTTTTTTATTATAGCATTCTCATTTGTAGTCCAAAACAACTAATATGAACAATCGTGTGTGAATCAATTTTATTACGAAAAAAAATGAAGATAAAATGCTAATAAAATTTGATCTAAGTGTATCTAAAAAAAGATTGCTGAAAAATCTAATTTAGTTTGTATGCTTTGCTGAAAATGATAAATATTAATAGAAAATTGCTTATGGGAGTAAAATAAAATAAATATAAAAATAGATTTTTATTTGCATGAATAGAAAGACGTGTAGATCATATTTATTTACGGAAATTGTTTTTATTAACAATGAATTTGTGTATATCAGTTTATAAAGAAAAAACAAAATATACAAATTAAATGAGATTTGTGTATATCTAAAGGATTCTTGTACCACAAAACTGTGTTACCAATAAAAGAATGGTTTACCTTAAAAAAAAAAAAGATTTTGACAAAATCAAGTACAAGTCGAATCCCTTTTTACATGGCAACTCCCTCCCATGCAATTAATGTTTTTTTGTATTTAAAACGCATGTGATAATTCTTTTTTTAAGGTCATTAATTATTTTGGCGGGCAATTCTTACTAAAATTGATTTAACCTTAGTCTTATTTTATATATATAGATATAGATAATACACTTTACTAACTTAGATTATAAATATATTTTAGAAGTTAATTTTTTGTATTTATTATCAATTTTCATGTATATTATCCTAAACAATCATTGCTTCATTAACTTCGATTTAACATCTATATTGTATGATAAAATAAATAAATAATTATATTTATATTTATAAATAAAAACTAAATTACTTATTAGTTTTAATTGAAAATAAAATTACTTATCAATTAACATAATTTAACTACGAATTAGTTATATGATATAAGTTAAAATAAAACTTAATAGTATAAGACGAATAAGTCGTATATGTGATAGTGTTACTTTAAATAATAATAATAATAATAATAATATTTTTCAAGAAAAAAAAGCATTTAAATCTAAGATATTTTTTTTATTATTTTTTAAATTGAAAGTTATTTTCTTTTTCACAAATCTCATGCAATACACGGATATTGTACTGGTATAAACTGATATTCATAGATTAGAACAAAAGGCATATCAACAAACCAATGTATTTATTTAGAAGTCCTTCATCAATGACTAATAATTTATCCTACCGTTTGGATGAGATCAATCGATTTTATCACTGCTCAAGAAATTTACTAAAAAAAAATGGAGTAATATTTTTCTAAAAATGACTGTATTCATATGCATTATATATACTGTTTTAAGGCAAGGGACCAGATTCATGTGGATGGATTGGGACGATATCTTTAAAGGTAAATTAGTAATTGTACAGAAAAAATTATAAATGATTCACTACAATTTATATGTGTCATTAAATTCAATCTCTTCAGTAAACATCATTAGTTTTGGAGGTATCTCATAAGTTTTTTTATAAAGATTTAAAAAAAAAAAAAAAAANTACCATTAGTTAGTTTTTTAACCATCACTTATAAACTATCAATTATAAGTTCGAAATCGACTTATAAGCTATTAGCTAACTTATAAGTTATTAGGTCCAATTAGAGACTTGACTATATACAGGTTGGGGATTCGATTTTAATCTCCCACCCTTTCGGGATGTTTCTTCTAAAAAACAAAAAACTTATAAGTTATGAGCCTCCGAGTTCCAACAGTGCGTATATTCCTGGCCTTACGAAAATTCTCCTCACTAAAATGTGGCTTCCACGAATCGAACTCCCCACGCTAAAGTTGTGAGCCCTGGGAGCTTCCAGCATTATTCTCATCGTTAGTGAAGAGGAAATGAATAAATGATAGGAAAATTATTTTTCATCTTATGTGGGAGTATCACTATCATTCCCTTGTCACATTTGATATCACACGCATTCGTGGAGATAATCCATAATTTTATTTAACATCTCTCTCCAGCAAGTTAAAGCATTCTAAGTCCTCTTGATTTCAAAATGAACAACAAATTCTCTCGGTTCTTGAGATTTTAATTCTCTCTCAGGATTCTATCATCCTCGGTCTGTTTAGTCTATTACATACATTACAATTTCCCTCATTGTAACGATAGACTCTCATCTTGGTCTCAAATAAATCACGAATACTCATAAGTATCAACCTTATATTCATGCAATAAAATAAGCCCAAGGAATTTATAAATAAAATGCAAACTAAAAAGAATAAATGAAAACTATGTTGGTTTGTATACTAAAATTTTGACTTTGAACCTATTTACATTTGAATGAATCATGTTTGACTAAACGCAAGTATGTTTTATTATTTTACATTTTAGATTAATGTGGTTCATCATGTTGAACAGAAGATTACATTATCAGTTCCTTGTAATATATAGCAAATGGTTCACAACCTAAATTGGTGAATCAACTATCGCAAACGGTTGTAGTATATTTTGGAATTAGTTGATCTTAACTAATGTATTACACTAGCACACTAAGAGTATATTGAATATGCTCAAGTGCATTTATTTTATCCCTCCCATAGCACAATTTATATATATATATATATATATATAAATGTATTAAATTATCAAATTAACATAAATTACATATTTATTTTTAAACATGATTGGAATATCAGTTTCAATTGAACCTTGTGGTTCCTGAATCGGAACTGCCAAAACTTTCGGCCCAATTTCAATTGGGCCTATAAAGAGTTGACACGTCTGGCCTATTACAATAGGAATAAATCTCCTACATTAAAATTGCAATACAATTTTACTATAAGAATATCATATGTAAACATAAGGGGTGAATTTAATAAGATCCTTTCTTATAATGAAAATGTGACACTCAATCATTATCATTGATTATTGTAGAATCATTGACTCATAATAAATAATTGAGATTAAGCCAAACCTTATTCAAATAGTGAGTTACTGGTGATGGCATCGTCGGTTTGAAGATTACACATTTAGTCTATATATAATGCATGTTTAGTTTATTTATAATACATATTTAGTTGATATCAATTACATATTTTGATATTAACTAAATATACGTATGTACGAACTAAATATGCAGTTTTGAAAATAACGGTGCCGCCAGTCACTGGGCAACCCTGTCGACTACCAGTCAACATCGGTCAACGATCAACGCCGCCACTAGTAAATCAATTATTAGAATAATTAAAAAAATAAAAAATTAAATCCTGGCTACATATTTTATCCACTTGCTATGATTTTATCTCACATTCTCATTTTAAGAATCGAGACTCATTTGATGTAATCCTTGTAAATATATATCCTTCCTACACATCAATGCAGAGTTTGTCTAATTTATATGTGTTGATTTCTATGCTTCGTAATCTTATGTGTTGTTTAATTTTTCGTAAAATGTCGTATTCATACTTCGAAATAGTTCATGCAACTTTGTATGTTTACTCGTTCACATCAGAATTTTTAAGATTATAAAATAACTTATCAAATTAAATTTTAAATATATTTTAAAACTTACTAATTTTTTTTTTTCATATCGATTTCTTATACATAATATATCAAACAAATTATATTTTTTACAATCTTCAATTTGATATACATATAGCATATATATAAAAAAATTTATATCTACCTTCATAAAGAAAAATTAAATTATATAATATGTCCTAATTTGTAATTGATAAAAGTATTAGGTATTAATCAAAGTTATCTGTCAAATCTATTATATAATGTGATTTAGAAAAAAAGTTATTATAAAATAGGACAAAAAATCTTAATGTCACTAAAAAACAAAAGGTTAGTTTTAAGAAAAAATATTTAAAAATTTAAATAAACTTCTATTTATTTTTAATTTTTAAGCATGAAATTTTTAATTCACTCGTGTAATACATGAATGTTGTAGCACTATTAGTGCATATTAGTTTAATAATAAATTATTACATGTACTAAAATAAATATAAAATAAGTTTTAGATAATACTAGAATACTTATTTATCAATTTAATTTATACAATTTACTACAAGTTACCAATTTCGGAAACAAAATAAAATAATTCAAAAAAGGAAAAATTACATATTCATTGACAGTCAAATATCTAAAAAAAGAAAAAGAAAATAACACACTTTAATGGGAAAAATGATTTGTTTGTATCACAATGGAAAATTCTGATATGAATCTCTCTTCACCATCGGCGCGTTCTGCTCCGCAGACGGCGTCGTCCGGCACTTCTTGGTTTTCCGGCATTGTCCGCGGCCGGTCGGCATCCGCCAAGATGTCCAGCAACTCCGCCGTTGTTGCTGCCGTCGACGGCGTCGGAGGTGGCACTGGACCCATTAATAAAAAACGCCAGTTTCGTGGGGTGATGTTTAAGTACGGTCCGAAGCCAATTCAGGTGAGGGAAAAGAAGAATATTGACAAATTATTGAGATATAGCTTTTTTTTTTTCTGGGTTTTTATTTGTTTCTTTTGTGTTACTTATTTGAGCTTTGGAATATGGGCTTGCACTCAAGAAATGTGCTAATGTCTGATTTTCAGATTTGTATTAATTTTTTCTTGTATCATTCTGTAGTTGAATCATCAAATCAGGGATCAGTATTAGGTTTCCAGTGTGATTAGTTTACAATTGTCCTCTCCGGTTTGTGAATTAAGGGATGTTGCTTATCAGTTAATTTTTGAAATTGGGAAATGGATTGTGAACAGAATTTTGGATTCATCTTGTTCATTTGTAATGGAGATTTGATGGTTTGAATCAGAGAGCTACATTTGCAATGATGCTGCTTGGCAATTGCATTAATAGATAGATGATAGTTGGAATGCACTGCAGATCTACCTTGATCTTTGATTGTTCTTGTTTGAGGAGTTCAGATGACAGACGTGGTCCTGAAAATGTAGGGAATTTCGAAATGGGTTGTTGACAGTCGCTGAATTCTAATTATGTTTTTGTGCATACGTTCGATTGGGATCTGGGCTGGTATATGAACATTCTCTTTACTGCTTTCTAGATATTCACCCTATCTCGAGTCATTAGTCGTTTCTTATGTGTATCACAGGAATTTTCTTTTCAACATCTTGAAAGTAGGAAGATGTTTTGTTGTCTTAGTTGTCATTTGTTCTCATGAAAGCAGACTTAGAATCAAAAGCAGATAAGATAGTTTTGGATATTTTCATATTTTGCATTAAACAGAACTTTTTTGTCGATTTATATCAAGATCCAAGAAACAATAGTTTTGTAAAACATTTTAGAGTGTGTGATTGTGTGAGTGAGTGAGTGTGATAACAGTGTGCTGGATTTTTTATTTGCTAGAAAGCTACCAACACCTGAACTTATTCTTGCAAAGAGGCATATGTTCTTTGATGGATCAATCTTTTTGTATTGTACAATTGCATAAATTCTCTGCAATTCTATTATTATTTTGTTGTTTTGCCGATGTCATGAATTTTATGTGCATGTATATTGAGATGATTGTAAGAACTAGACAGCTAAATGTACCGCCTGGAAATTTAAATCTGAAAATTCAGATTTCGGCAAGTTTATCTGAAAACCCTTTGTGTGTAAGAACTAACGCCATCTCATCCATTACCGTTCAGGTTTATCTCTGGATCTAAGTCCACTGGCACGAGGCAATTTTGTTTTATTTTATTGCACTCCCATTCTTTTCTTTCTGACTTGATGCTCTGTCTTTTCTTTCTTCTTTCCTTTTTGGTGCAGGTTGCGTTTAAAACAGGTGACTATAAACAGCAAGTTATTTTTATTGGTGGTCTGACGGATGGTTTTTTGGCCACTGAGTATGCCATTCACTTATGTTTCAAACGTTTTAACTTAGATATTTTTGCAATTGTCCAGGAACAAATATTTTCAAACATCTTTTCAATAGTTTGTTTCAGATCTCCTTGTATGCATAAAAGCATGTTGGAGACATTTGGCTATGTAATTATGATACACTACATGTATATATCTGCCATGATAGTATGAAATCCTGGAACTCAAAACAGCATCCAAACAATTCCTCCAGAAAAATTCCTGGACCAATTTGGTGAAATTTAAAAAACAAAATAGAAGGAAAAGGAAAATACTGCAAATGGAAGTTACTGAATAAGGACAACTGCAATAGTCATGTATATCTGTTCTGTCGAGCTCATTCTGACATAGATGATCCTGAAACTTTCCAGATATTTGGAGCCTTTGGCTATTGCTTTGGAGAAAGAGCATTGGTCACTAGTGCAGTTTCTGTTTTCATCTTCCTATAGTGGATATGGTATCTCAAGTTTGAAACAGGTAAACTATTCTTTGTTAAGTCCTGTCTGATAGAGTGAGATTCTCAGGTCTCAGTAAATATGATTGTTAGTGGACTTTCTATTTCTTCTTCATTGTGCTTATTTATGGAAAGACATGTTTTGTTCAATTCTTGTCTTGAGATCCTGCTCTTATATATAATTCAGGATAATTAGTTACACAAACTACATCATCGGTTTACCTAATAACAAAATACTCTAATTACCTTTCGAAATTGCAAAGAGAAACATATGTCAGAGCAACTACATATAATTTTGAATGATAACTAGTTTTTCTTTTCTTTTTGTTCTTTTCAATTTTTTCGTATAGAACTCAGGGCTAGTATAAGTAATTATCCCATAGAATCGATTGATTGCATCTCATGCACTTCATATTGTTTTTCAGATCAATATCTCAAGTGTAACCTTTTTTTTTTCTGAAGTTTTAATGATTACATTTTTGGCCAAAGGATGCAATGGAGCTTGATCAATTGATAAGCTATCTGATAAACAAGGAAGATTCCGAAGGTGTGGTACTAGTTGGTCACAGTACTGGCTGCCAGGTAATTTGTGAAAGGATAATCCAAGGTTTAATTTACTTATTCTGTAGTTATAGAAACTCTGATGTATTCATAGTCTCACTTTACAAACATAAAACTAGCTGAAGCTCATTCTCTTTGTACAGGACATAGTTTATTACTTGCGTACAAATGCAGCATGTTCAAGAGCAGTTCGTGCTGCCATTTTGCAGGTAATACCTTCCCAGTTATGCTAAATTTTTTATCTTCTTCTCGAAGTGTTATATGAATGGATAAGGATTTGTCTGACTGTAACCTTTTGGGATGATTACGAATAGTTCCATTGAGGTTTAGTCTTATAAAATGAAAATTTAGGAGAAAACGATTTGCTTTTTAAAACTGCAAAAATCATCCTGCACTACATTTCTGTTTTACAGTTGCGCTAATGAGATTAATTTGTAAAAACAGATTCAAAACCTCAGAGAGGCATTTCTAGTACCTCATGGGTATCAGTAATTCTGAAAACACACGCAAAAAGTGAGAATTAAGAGTAGGCTTATGCACGTTATTATATGTGCAGTAATTTGAATGTTCATTATATTACACGGCTGTTTCATCAAAATTAGTTTCTTTAGCACTTTTTTTTGTTGACGCTGATCAGGCTCCAGTTAGCGACCGGGAATATAAAGCAACGCTCCCTGAAACTGCTTCAATGATCGATTTGGCTTCAAAGATGATAAATGATGGCCGGGGATCGGAACTGATGCCTAGAGAAGCCAATCCAGATTCTCCAATTACGGCCTACAGGTGAGTGTGATTTGAGGTGGACTTCTTTTTGTAACTGAATTCATTTTTCATTTTTCTTTTAATTTCATCTTGGTTATCCTTTTCATTTTTTTGACCTATATGCAGATACCATTCGCTATGTGCATACAATGGAGAAGATGACTTGTTTAGCTCCGACTTTAGTGAAGACCAGTTGAGACAGAAACTCGGACATATGACTAACACACCCACCCTGGTATGAGTATGTGTTAATTGAACTTTAAAACATATTTTATTTTTGCTGCGGAGTTCGACTTCGACTTGTTTGAAGGTGCCAGACGAGAATGAACCACCTATTATTATTTATTGAAAAAGCAAGAACTTTTTTATAAGTATTAACTGGCATTTTACAGTTTACTTTGTTAAAGATACAAATATAAACGTGTTTGATGATTATTTCATTACAAGACATTATTAGGCCTCCTGATAACTATTACATAGCTCGTCTTTCTCAATGAGCAATTTATCTATTTAGTGCTGTATTT